AGAGAGAGAGAGAGAGAGAGAGAGAGAGAGAGAAGGGGGGGATGGTAACCCCCATCTGATGGGACAAATGGAGGAGCTAAAAGTTACCTCGGCTTCAATGATTTTGTGCCTGAGGCAATTTCTTGATACCTCAGGCATCAATATCAATCTTCCTCCCCAGGGCCAGCCCGGAACTTACGTAAATTGCCTTGACAGTGTTTTGGGTGTTTTTTTTTAATCGGTAGACTCAACGAATCAACATGGATGAAATCTTCAGTCTTCATGCTTCAATTTCCTTGACCTAACTCAACCCTTACAGACTTACTTCGTCTGTAAAACAACGTATTCTCAACTCATGTCGGCCGGGGGCGAGCACCTCAAAGATGAAGGCACCAAGCGACAGGTTATACTGGCCGGCGGCATTGCAGGCCTAATCTCACGGTTCTGTATCGCGCCACTAGACGTCGTTAAGATCAGATTACAGTTGCAAATTCATTCATTATCAGACCCTGCGTCCCATCAGAGTGTCAATGGTCCTATTTATAAGGGGACGTTGTCCACCTTGCGGACGATTATGAGGCAAGAGGGAATCACCGTGCGTTGAAAAGATTACCCTGCGTCTCAATGTCAAATTCAAATGCCCTAACTTGGTTTTCCTCAAACAGGGCCTTTGGAAGGGCAACGTTCCCGCCGAAATGATGTATGTCTGTTACGGCGCCATTCAATTCACCACATATCGGGGAACAACCCAAGCCCTCGCCCAACTCGGCTCCTACCGACTCCCCCAACCTGTCGAATCCTTCATTTCGGGTGCAATGGCAGGCGGATGTGCCACAGGAGTAACATACCCGCTTGACCTTCTCCGCACGCGATTCGCCGCGCAAGGCCCGGACCGCGTATATGGCTCGCTACGCGCCTCAATTTTGGATATCGCTCGACATGAAGGCGCACCGGGATTCTTCCGGGGATGTTCTGCCGCTGTGGCGCAAATTGTGCCATACATGGGACTTTTTTTCACAACATATGAGGCACTCAGACCAGCCATGACCTGGGATGCTCTGCCGTTAGGTTCGGGGGACGCCGCAGCCGGTGTGGTGGCCAGTGTCCTGGCGAAGACGGGTGTTTTCCCGCTAGACCTCGTGCGTAAGCGCTTACAGGTACAGGGTCCAACAAGGACCCGCTACGTTCATCGCAATATTCCGGAGTACAAGGGAGTCCTCCAAAGCATTGCTACAATTTTCCGCACCCATGGCGTGCGTGGTTTGTACCGCGGCTTGACTGTCAGCTTGCTCAAGGCGGCACCGGCAAGTGCGGTGACAATGTGGACCTATGAGCACGCATTGAAAGTCCTCCAAGAGCTCCACGTCGCAGTTGATAATTGAAGGTAGACTTCAAATTGTCTCACCAGTAATTCTTTTGCATGGATCATTTGATGGCGTTATTATTAGAGGGACTAAAAGTTGGTTAAACGATAAGGCGAAAGGCCACATAATACTCATCCCTGTTTGTACATAGAAAAGTCCATTTCATATGCCTTTTTCCGCCGCCTGTACCTGAAACTCACAAGGTTACAAGAGATCTAACAAAACTCTGTAAGGAGACCACTCAAGGCCGCATATGCGGCCTTGTCAGTTTGATTTGATTCCCTTCTGAAGGGTCCGTTTTGACAACATTTTCCGTCCTTCCCTCGACTCAGTACTCAACACCTTCCGGGCCGCTGTCCTCAGCCACCCCCCCTCATAATCCTTTTCAGGAGCTGCAAGATCCTCACGAGCTTCGAAGAATTCGCCCTCTTCCATCCCTTCACCAACATACCAGTGGACAAATGAACGCTTGGAATACATAAGATCGAAGTAGTGATCCAGGCGACTCCATACCTCAGCAATGGCGGTAGTATTGGACAGGATGCTCACTGATCGGTCGACACACGCAAATTCGTCGTCATAACGACGCACAGGCTTTTGGTAGTTAATTTCTAGCTTGAATCCAGTGGGACACCACTCTACAAAGCTAAAGTTACCCCTGGTCTTGAGGGCATGGACAGTCTGAGTGCAGTCATGGGGGACAACGTCACCCTTGTAAAAGAAAGCTACGGCCATGCACTTGCCTTTTGTGGATCACAATTCACCATCTGATAGTGAGTTTCAAAGCCTATGACCTAGTCAGAACAAAAGCACGCCTCATTGAAATGGTGTCGACGAACACTGAAAGGTGAGATACTGGACCTTGAAACTCTCGTGAGAGCTGCGCTTTCTACCGATCACCGGAGCATAAGAAATCAATGAATAGTGAATACGCGGGTATAGGACAAGGTTAGTCTGGAACTCTGCCAGATCGACATTGAGAGCACCATCAAACCGCAGGCTGGACGCGATAGAGCTCACTACCTGAGCAATCAGACGGTAGAAGTGTTCATATCCAGGTTGCGTCGGCAGATATCGTACACAGCATCGTTGTCAACTAGGAAGGTACAGTCGGAATTCTCAATGGTGCTGTGGGTTGAGAGGACGGCATTGTGTGGCTCCACCACCGCATTGGATGTACGTGGGGAAGGATAGATTGAGAATCCCAGCTTAGACTTGCGCCCATACGTGATGGTCAGATGATCCAACAATAGTGAACCAAACCCAGACCCTGTACCACCACCAAAGGAGTGAAAGGTCAAGAAGCCCTGTAAGGAATGGCAGTTCTTTATGAAGAAATTAGCCAAGAGCCATCGGCACGAAGATCGAGTTCGCAGGCTCATACCGGCTACATGACGAATGCTATCAATCACAGCTTCTGATATCTCCCTTTCCACGGTGTAATGACCCCGAGCATCTGCCACCTGTTAGCTTCTCGGTTATTAGCTTTCACTTCCAAGTTGATCTGTCCGCACAGTTGTTGGCAGCATCTTCGTTCCCACTGATCAACTGCTGAGAGCGGAAAGACCACGGAAAGGGCCGGTGCGAATCTCATCGATGGGCTAGCGCAGTTTATTCAGCTGGTAGAACTGGTTGCTTTATGTTCTGTTCACATACCAATGGGTCAAGGTCGACGAAGATGGAACGGGGAACAGATTTGCCGCCAGAGGTTTTAGTAAAGAACGTCTCGTTAGATCCGCATTTTGCATCCTGGTTGGTTACATCGGGATCAATAAATTCATCCGGCTTCGGACCGTGTTCAAGTAGATATCTATGTTACTTCTTGATCAGCAAGGACATCGGGAACGCTACACAATGAAGAGACGTACAGTTCCCAGGCAGCGTTACCAAGCTGTGTGCCGGCCTGGCCAATATTTAAATGACGGATCCGGTAGGTCTGAGTCAATCTCCATGTTGATTTCCTTTGGTTTGATTTTTGGTTAAGCAAATAGCAGCCAAAGTTGGGTGGCTGATGCAAACATGCCGACACCATGGACGTGATCAAAGGAATCCAGCAGAGTAGTAGAGCAGCGTACATACCTCGCCTCTCATGGTAAACTGGACTAACAACCAATCTTAGGATAAAAATGAGGAATGAGGAGAAGGGAAAGTTATGGGCAGAGAGATATGCTAGGAGAAGATGAGGGGACACAAGACAAAAGACACAAACTGATATCTCCTTGACGTGGAAGTCACCCAGGTCAAACATACTATGACGATCACAACTCTACTCAACTTTATCAACCCATATATTGTGGACATTAAATATCCTTGGCCTCAAATCTGGGCATTGGCCTCATAATTCGATAAGTGTAATTGGACACCAACAGTGACAACGTTCTATTTTTTACAGCAGATCACCTAAAACTAAAACTTCATCATTCAGCCTAGCATGATCAAAGTCTCAAATCCCAGATCGGCGTGGCTAAGATATTCTGAAGCTAGTCCGACTTCGTCAAGGCAACATGGTCAAGTCAATATACCGGCGATGCACGTCGGAGATGATTTTTTTCAGACGCAAACTTCCACCCAATTAAGGCTTGGATCGTGAATTCTGGCTATCAGACATGCATCTGAATCGCCGTCTGTGACGAAGCCGCGGGCTAAGTTGAACCTCAGAGTTCCGGATATGAAGAACAGATCCTGTTCAATGACACAGATGTGACATCATACGTAGGCGGAATGTAAAGCTGTCAAGTTGATCTCGTCTACGTTAATGCAGATACAGACATTCAGTAAATTATCTGTAGCAACACGAGGATAAGTCTCCTTGTAACCACATGTGTAGTAGTGTAATAATCTTGATCACTTGAGTAGGAAGACATGTCTCAGTGTGCTCCATCTCCGACTACTCTGGTGCCTGGTTCTATATTAATTACGTCCTCTGTACATTGGATGTTTTTCGGAGCCTTCATATGCATGTTCACAGACATTCAAAATGACATTCAAAAAGCACATCACATGGCCGCACAAGCCGCCAACTATTCTTGTTGATATTCTTCTATATCTAGACAAGATTGATTAAATCAGATAGAAAGTCAACATTTTGAATTATTCTCATCGCCAAGACTCGAACCTGAATGCAATGCATGATCAAAAAAAAAAAAACAAACAGCCATAAAATAACGAACAAGAGCTTAAAGGCCGAGATGGGGATATATGTATGGTGGAAAGACATGTTATAGTTCTGTCGAGGCACGGTGTGTCCTGGAATCTCCAACGGGAGAAGAAAGATGTGACAAATGGGGTGTCTTTTCAGTGCATGAATGACATAAAAAGATCAGATTGAAAATGACAATGTCTTGAATCAATTGGGGTGCTCCTTGGCAGTGGCTGGCGGGGGTAGAGTAGGCTTGTCAAAGCGGCCCTGCTCCATCAAGTCGTCACGGTCGTGACTCACACTGCTGCGGTGTTGAAAGAACCGGTTGCGGCTGAGCGATGAATGTCCACTACGGAAGCTGTGAGCATCAGTCGACCGGTGGCCGTCATCATTACTGGAGGGAGCACTCATGTTAGAGGAACGACGATGCCGGGAAGAGGATGTCCGACTCCGGCGCTCCTCGTCGTCCTCGTTCTCTTCCTGAATGCGGCGCTCTGCAGCATCGCGGTTGGCGGTACGGACGATGTCATCGACGACCACACCCCGATCCTCAAACACGTCTCCCATGATATCGTTGGATGCCATGTTAGACATGCCCAAGGAGAAGTCGACGTGCTTACGCGGTGAGATAGACGGGCCGCGGGCACGGGCGTTGGCAGCGTACATACCCTTGCGGAGAATGGATGGGTGACGGATAGCGCTGCCGCTGCCGGTTCCGGTATTTTCTGGCAGATCGTGGGAATCTTCTGAGATCGGGACTTCCTCGGGGTCGATGGGAGTTTGCCGCTCGGCAGAGCGTGTATTGCCATAGCTTACGTGGAAGGGGATGTCGAACTTGGCTCCCTGGAGGTTCATACGTGGGCCCTCAATGCCGATCTCCTGGAGGGCGACCATGAGCATGCAGATGAACTTATTGCGTCGCTGTAGACGTAGACCCTCGTTCTGCCAGTTGGACTTGTAAAAGAAGACAACGTTGAGTGTGAGCGAGAAATTCTCGGTGACGGCGCGCATTTCGGTGAGGATGTTGCTCTGGAAGTCGCGTTTCTCACTGCGTACAAACTCCAAGAGGCGCTGTCGCAGAGAATCGAGTTGATCAATGCTGGTGCCGTACTTGATAATGATTGGAACTGCCTCGGCAAGTGCACCCGAACGGCGCTGATTTAGGATGAAAAGGCCATTGAGGTAGCTGTTCGGCGCCTGCACAACGTGGCCTTGCATCTTCTTGAATTCGGTGTAGAGAAGAGTAATTTCCTTCACAAAGTAATCATCGCCAAGCCCGGCATCACCAGCGTTGCCGTAAATGGTCACACGGTCACCCACGTCGAAGGGATGCTTGACAAAGACGAAGATAACCGATTGAAGGAACTCCTGGGCGGTTGCAGAGAACAACCAAGACAGTGCCAGAATCGCAGAGCCCGCGGAGGTGAGCACGCCGGCGGCTGAGGTCGAGATGAGCGACAAGAACACAATCAGCACTACCACAATTACGAAGAACATGAACACATCATCCAGTTTAGAGACGACTGAATCCAAATCCTTCAAGGATGCAGTAATGGACTTGCGCTCACGGCCAATGTCAACGCAGACAGCCTCCAGCTCCTCCATTGAAATATCACCGTTCATGTCACGATCAAACATGGCAAAGGCAGCTTCGGCTTCCTCGCCGTCGTCAAATGCGGCTTTCAGATCACCACCAAAAACTGTCTCGAAGCCGTCCCTCACAAAGGTGCGATATAGACGACGCGCCAAAACCTGACAACCTCCGGTCGTTCGCAAGAGCGCCAAGATGACCTGATAGGCATCCGTGCTGCGAGTAGCCGCGCGGCCTGTGACATCAGCCACTACGGCACCTGCGACATCGCCGACCCGGTTTCCAACTTTGCTCAGGGCACCCTTAGCCTTCCGCTGGGCTATGCCAGCGTAGTGTAACGGGGTTTTGACTCCCGAAGGGGTCGGTACCTCTTTCTTCTCCTCAAATGCATCGTCTTTCTCACTGAGAGTGGTCCGAGACCACTCATACAGCTTGGTCAAACTGCCGATCTGGAATTTGTTGATTTCAATGCGGTCCGCATAGGTGCGCATATGAAAGCTAATGGCAATTAGCTGGATAAGAATCTTTTCAATAAAATTCAAGATCGTCCACACGAAGATGGCAATGATAATTTTGTTGAGAGTGACTTCCCAACCCCTCGTCCCCTTGTTGCCATCCACATGGTGGTTTTTCATCGTGGGCAGGAAGGAGATCTCCACGCCGAGCCACCAGAAAAAGAGCGCCGCGTGAAGCTCGATCTGTTTAGCCATATCGCGCCATTTTTTCGCGTTGTTGGTAAATATACTCGCAAAAAGACCCACGACGGGAGGGAAGCATTTGCTGACAAGCTGAGAAAACATGGGGAAACCATCAGTACAACTTCCTGGAAGGAATGGATTCACTGATGGGACTCACCCGTCCTGCCCAAAGAGTCAACCAGACAATTTCCAACCAAATCGAAAACCACATCAATTTGACACCACCCACGCTCGCATTGGGGTACTTGAGAGCGCCGACCAGCAACGGGATCAAGAGGAGGATGACGACAGGGGAAATGTAGGTCAAGTAGCGCACGAGGAAACTCGACTGGTGCAACTTCTTCACAAAGACTGCAATCTGTGTGTTTGGTTTCTCCGGTGGTTTGTAAATCGCGGTCTTTTCATGCAGAGGGTTTGTCGCTTCATCGAACTCATCTACCGTTTCCGAGCGACGCGAACGGGAACGACTGATGGAGCTATGATCATGCTCGTCCTCATGAACACCGGTCGAGTGCGAGGTCATACGCTCGGCTTCGAGGAGCATTAGGTCATCCTCCAGGCGAGTAGCCTGCTCCCTACGGGCGGACGGCGTGCGCAGGGGCGGATGCTCATCATCGTCGACATGATGTGTAGTGTCAACCTTTAAGAGATCCGCGTTGCGATCCGTGTCGGGCTCGGTCACGCAGGTTCCGTCGTCGGAGGTGGGAGAAATGTCCGACTCTTTGCGCTTGTCCTTTGATTCGGTATGAGCTTTTCGTTCCTCGATGGGGGACGACATAATGGCGCCGGGCCAAGTATATAAGAGGAATGCGGTCAAGGCGGGGAAGGATTAGACTGGAAAGTGAGAGATATCTATACAGGGTATTTTGATACAACACCGCAAGCAAAACAAAAAGATTATAGAGACAGAAGAATTGGACTAGGGAAGAGAGCGAAGAGAAATGGTCCAGTGGAGTTGTGGAGTTAAGAGGACCCATCACAGTGCAGAGTCTGGGCCCCTGGGGTCCTCTCGATTAGTTGGATTTTACGATGATCTCGATCTGGTTGATAAAGTATGTCAGTTATGGGAGAGATTAGTTTCATTTTAATTTCTATTAGATTAATAGATTGATAGATTCATAGATTGATAGATTAGAGAAATAGGGGGGGGGGATGTCGGCATATCCACATCCAAGGGTCCTACCACATACCAGATGCCATAAATAGCACAGGTAACATATAAAAGTAACTACACACAACACCATTTCAATTACGATAATTTTCAACTTGTAGATTTCCATCTCCAAATGACCAAAAAAAATTCCCAAATCTGCAATGCAGACCAACTGCCAATAATGTTAGAGATACTCTGGCCCATCACGGCTCGCCAGCGTTTTGCTGATCCACCCAGGTGGCGAGGGTGGATTTTGGGAGTTGTGCGCACAAGAGAGAGAAACCCTTTAATATATTATACTTGCCATGGATCACGCCAAGGACGCCTCTTATGTTGTATAGTTACCCCTGCGTCAGGTAAACCTTTTGGGGTTATACTACTCATACTCCGTACAAAACATGAGGTGGTCGGGAATTCCCACCTATGACCGTGTTTAACATGATAACACTGACGTTGCCCATAAGAAACCAAATTCAACATATCCCGAACCTATTATTTCAGTGACGTAGTACTTTTCACGTTCTCTGCTAGACCCATTTTTGGAGTCTCCACGTTGTACGCACGGTTGTGATCATATTGCAAATGGGCCTAGATCTCCGACAGAAGGACAGAAACCGAGCTCTGATTTCTCTTATTTGGGACTAGGATTTTCGTAATTCAGGATGTGTCCAATCACAACTCTTGAGTGGAACGATCATCGGGGGTTCCGGAAGTGGGAGGTGGCTGTGAGGCACTTACACTACGCACCGGTATAAAATCAACATCGGAATTCCCATGAAAAGAAGTCTATGATAAAAAGAAACGAAAATTGCGTCGAGCTGATGTTGGAATTTCAATCACATGGTGAAAAAGAAAAAAAAAAAAAAAGGGAGACTAACGTCGCCAAGAAAAGAAATTTTTTTTTTAAAAAACGATGGCGAGTAAAGAGTGAAAGACCGGAACACCTTGCTCCGAGAGCCACAAAGAAAACATTCAGACATAAGAGACGTGAGAGTGAAAGAGTGGATGTGACAGTGCATCCAAGGGGTACGAGGTAATCCCTAGGAGTGGATAAACACAGGAAAAGTTTACAAGACGAAGTAGGTGTGCAACAATATGTAGACAGAATAGAAAGATCTCGAAAGATCTCTGGCAGAAGATTTGGAACAAAACAAGTGAGCGAAGAATCTACCTTTTGAATGTGAAGCTCAAGTCCGGGTGATATCGCTCCCCTGGACGAGGCGTCTGCTCCGAATCAAGGTTAGGGGAAGGATGAAGAGGTCGCGGCGTAGCTTCAGCGTCCGGAGTGGGACTACAGTCGGCATCCACGCCCAGATCGGCATATTGGGTCAGCGCGCTGCCGCAGATCTTAACTTCAGGGGTGATTGGCGGGGCTGTGGAATGGGAGATAGTGCTCTGGGGGAAGTCCCATGGTGGTGTGGTTTGGCCCTGACTCGGCATTGCCGGGCTGGTCTTCGATGGACAACACGGGGAAAGCCCAGAGTAGATCGAGGTATCCTGGTGCGCCAAAGATGGCCGGAGAGGCTGAGAGGCGGATACTCCAAACCTTGGAGGGGACGTACGAGGACTGGGCGGTTCTTCGCCTTCCGATTCCTCGGGAATGCTCAGTGCCTCGAAACGATCTTCGAGGCTCGTGCTGGCCAGGGTACTGAAAGAGCCATCGCTGTCTTCGGGATTTGCAGAATCCGCAGCTTGGTTCCGAAGAGCCTCCCTCTCCTTCTTCAGAAGTTCTTCACTGCCACTGACAACGCTGCCTCGACTGTTGGTCCGCATCATCTCAATCCCCAGTTTGGAACCGGGGCGGCGATTTTGAGAGGGCGGGCTGCGACGCGTTTGGGAATTGCCAAGCTCCTCGTCTTCATCGTCACCCGATTCGGCGCCCTCGTATCGCTTCTGTTCAAGGGATTCCTTTTTGGCACGAATGCCCTCATTTGACCGTTGCCTCCGGGGCGTGAGCCCACCGGTTGCATCCATGGCCGCGGGTGCGGAGGCAGCATGAAGAAGCTGAGGCACAGGTACAGCGTTGGAGTATGGGCTCACAGAATGTTCCGCTGGCTCTTCAGATATCCCCAAGCCACCATGGCTCCGGTCCCAGTCATCGGAATATCGGTTGATGATTACTGGAATCTCCTCGGGCTTGAACGACTCCATTTCTCCGAACACACTGCTGCTGAGCGAATCGTCGCGGCTCGATCCTCGGTAAGAGCTGGGGGGATTGAGGACAAATCCGGAGGATGCCGAACTAGGGCTATCCTCGGTTGTCAAGGCAGCACCGGAGCCTGGAACTGGAACAGGAACAGGTTGAGAGGGAGTGTAGTCCGTTGGAGGAGGTTTCCACATGCACCACTGGGAAAGTGCCTCGGTCAACTTGGGTAGAGTCGGAGGCTTTTGTATCAGCGCATCGAAGTTGTGATTTTCCGGGAGGTCTTTCAAGTAACCCGTGACAGCAATTATCGGAGTATGCCTGTTGGCACTGCGCGTCTCCCGCACCATGCGAGCGAAATCAACCCCGTTGACTTGGGGAAGTCGGTATTCAGTCATTATTATATCGAACTGAACCTCGCTGAGAGCGTATCTGACAGCCTCTGCACCATTTGTAACAGTGATGGTCCTACAGCGAAGTTTCTCGAACAAACGTTCCATCACCAGCCGCGAGACTGGATGGTCCTCACAAATGAGCACATCCAATGGCCGGAAAAAGGGCCCTTCTAGAAAGTTGATTTGTGATAACCGTCGGGAACTTTTTCGTCGACGTTGGACCTTCAAAAGTGCTTTTGTGCGCGGATCCTCATTGTCCGAAGATGAAGGAGAGATATCAAAAAGTTGACTTCGGCGTTTGTGATGATGGGACACGAAGGGTTCTTTCGGGAACGAGGGAACGTCTCCATCCTGAGAGCCAATAGTGTGCGATCGGGTGCGGCCCGCTGGGACACTGCCATGGCGTTGATTGTTGCCGGGCTTGTCGGGGGAATGGGCTGGAATTCGATTCGGCTTGACAGGAGAGGACGCCACTGAACCCAGTCTAAAATTTGGCATGCGCCCTTGGTCGGCAGAGGAAGGCTGGAATGCCCCACTCGATTGGTAGGAGGTTGACGAAGAGCCCGACGTCTTGCGCCGTTCTTGGTTAGTCCCAGTGCTGAACTGAACTAGGAGGGGAGAAGATGGCTGCGACGGCCTGCTTGGGGATGAATTGGTCTGACTCAAGCCTGATGGGGAAGATGGTCGATTAGTGGCCTTGTTCTGTGATAAAGTTCTCTGGAGTGGCATAGGCAGGGGGCTCCCTTCCAATGAGGGCTGAGATGGAGCGACCGACGCCGGAGCAACAGAAGATGAGGTGGGTTGTCGGTGCTGCGCCTGCAGAGCCTCCTGGCGCATCTTCTGGATCACATCTTTGTTGGCCTTTTCTAACATCGGAAGATTTTTAAAGTTGAAGCTGCCAAAATCATCGGCCAACGCCGGTTCGCTAAGTCTCCGACTTCGGGAATCTCGAGCATCACGAACGTGAGGGGGAATGTGCAGCGGCATCAAAGGTCGTTTCGATGAGTTAACTTGCGAACGGACCTTGAACAGTGCATCATGAGGCCGGTCGGGACCAGCGGGAACTGAAAGTTGTGGCGAATTCTCGTCTTCTAACTCCTCTGCAAATGATTGCAGAGTGGCGCCGCGGGCATCAAAATACTCTGTGTCCTCCGGGTTCTCAATGTTGGGAACGAATTGTGCTTTGTCTTCCAGCAGTGTATCCCAGTTAATGTCAGAAAACCATGAATGACTACAAATCTCCGCACCACCACTTGGAAACTTCTCTTCTACGTTGGCGCCAATTCTATCACGAGGGCTGAGAGTCATAAGCTTGTTCATGAGATCCAACGACTCTGCTGAAGTCAACTCCTCTGGATCTTCAGGCCAATTGATCCTGCGATGGAGTATGTTTTCAAACACCTGATCTGGAGTATCCGCATTGAAAGGCGGGTATCCAAAGATGAACTCGAACATGATGCATCCTATTGACCACCAGTCACTGATCTCATCTTGTCCAACGCCGTTGATAGTTTCCGGGGCAAGGTAGTCCGGAGTGCCGACGAAACGACGATCGTGATCTTCAGGATCAAAAAGAGCCATCACTGGAGGCATTAAACTTTGCTGAGGAGGGGTATTCTGCACCATTGGATTGCTAAAGGTTGGCTGCAGGGGTTGGAGGCGAGGAGACTCGCCAGCCTCACTTTGGCCCTCCTCTTCAACCATGCTGGTTGAAAACACACTCGGCGACGATGCAGTAGGTTCGTGGGCATGGTCATTGAGCGAGAAGGTCCTTAACAGCCCATTGAGACCATCGCTGCCCATGCTATCGCTGCGGTATCCCGAAGCTCGACGAGAGGTTTGCCGACTCAAACCACTCTGATTAAGGCTGAAGTAGGATGGCTGGAGGGCATTGGTGGACACTTCCGGGGTAATTAATGGAGTGGAGCCGGGTGATGAGCTTGCCTGGAAGTCGAATGAGGCTGATCGAGATGAAGCAATCGATATTGCACGGGCGAATGAATTTTGCTTCAGCAGATCAGGGGCAGAATCATCGGGATTCTTCAGCACCCGTTTCTGACGACCAACCAATCCCATGCGTGAAAGCC